AAAAAAATTATATGCAGTGTTTATTTGTTTGGCCACTACTTTAATTATATTGGTTATTAACACATTTTAAATTATATATATATATATATATATATATATATATATATATATATATATATATATATATATATATATATATATATATAATATATATATATATATATATATAATTTGAAATGTGTTAATAACCAATATAATTAAAGTAGTGGTCAAACAAATAAACACTGCATATAAAATATTTATTTCTTTTATTGTTACTATTAAGTTAGATACACTAAATTTAAGTTTTATATTTTTTAGCGGTAGAGGCCTTTTAAAAAATCATCAGTAGTGCTATTTATGTTATCAAAATAATATTTTCTTATATATATATATATATATATAATATATATATATATATATATATATATATATATATATATTATATATTATATATATTATATATTTATATATATATATTATATATTTATATATATATATTATATATATATATATATATATATATATATATATATATATATATATATATATATATATATATATATATATACACACATATTTACTATAACGTATATAGATAACAAATTGTTACTAGTCTTTCCTATCTTTATAGCCTACAGTGTTTTCAGAAAAAGAACAAGCGAACAAAAAATAAAGAATAATAAAAGAAAAGATTGCTGCTTCATGCCAAACCTCAATCGATGTAGCAATACTCCATTGCGGCAGCAGGCTATAAAGTAGTTGATACATGTACTGAAGCCCTTGGCAGTAGGCTATCTTAGTGTGACATCAAAGATATTATCTAATTTTTAAATAACCATATATATATATATATATATATATATATATATATATATATATATATATTATATATATATATATATATATATATATATATATATATATATATATATATATATATATATATATATATATATATATATATATATGAGAGTGCCACTAAAAACAACTTTTTTTTTTGAAAGTGCCTGCTGCCACCCCCTAAATGTGTTCTATGTAATAAGACCCTTAAACATTAAACGAGTCCCTAATATTTTGAAAAAAAAAGTTCTTCAAAAATATTTCCCTATAATAATTCCCCTAAAATATTTTTTTTTATTTAAATTTTTTTTTAATTTAGTGTTAATTTATTTTATAGAACACATTTAGGGGGTGGCAGCAGACAATTTCAAAAAAAGTTGTTTTAGTGGCACTCTAATATATATATATATATATATATATATAATATATATATATATATATATATATATATATATATATATATATATATATATATATATATATATATATACATATATTTATTTAAACAATTTTAAAAATGTATTCTACAAAATAGTGCTCAGTGTTCTTAAAAGAACAGAGCAATTATAAATTAGTAGAAAATCACATAAACAAAAAATATTTTTTCATTTTACACTGTGTTTCATCAACAAAGACACATCAGAAATGAATGATCAAATTAATAAAACTTCAACTTATACCAAAAAAATTAAATTACAAGAAGTCGGAAATCTTTTAATTACTGTAAATTTTCACACATTTGTGGAATTTGCTGACACTATTATAAAAAGAGTTCTTTAGACATGATTACTTATGCTTTTTTTTGTATGCAGGCTCTGTTTTAAGGATGGACCAATTCAGTATAAAATCATCAATATTTTTATCTTTCAGTTCCCATATATAATTTGACAGCATGGTGTCTTTTGAATAGTTTTTATATTTAAAAGATTGCTTATGCCTCTGTTATGCCAATATATTGTTTATCGGGTATATTTTTAGAGGAAATAACACATTTATATACCACATTTTTTGATAAACAACTTCGACTCATTGGACAATTGATTTTTTGTTTACAGTTACAATTTTCTGTAGTTTTTTCATTTAGAATTTCTTTTTTATTTATCAAAGCATTATTATGACCTTTTATAATTCTTTCCATATTTTTTGTGCAACTGTAACTAACTTTAATTGTATTTCGATTAAAAATTTTATGTAATTTATTAGAGGGAGGGAAATGCTTATCGACCAATTTTAAAAACACTTTCCCTATGTTATTGGAAACATTTTTGCTATATGTGGGGTTGAACCAAATTGCATTTCTAGTTCTATTCCGCTTTTTTTTAATTCTTTTTTTAGGGTCAAAGTGTCAGCAAATTTCACAAATGTGTGAAAATTTACTGTAGTTAAAACATTTCCGACTTCCTGTAATTTAATTTTTTGGTATAAATTGAAGTTTTATTAATTTGATCATTCATTTCTGAGTCTTTGTTGATGAAACACAGTGTAAAATGAAAAAATATTTTTGTTATGTGATTTTCTACTAATTTATGTGTATATATATATATATATATATATATATATATATATATATATATATATATATTATATATATATATATATATAATTATTAAATATATATATATTTATATTAAATATTATTTATTAAATTCAATTGTTAAATATATATAAATTCAATTATTAAATATATATTTATTCATATATAATATTAACTGAAGGCAAAAGTTTGTGTAATTTTAAGTTTAAATGTTT